AGTCTGACCATCTCACAGGTGGGCGGCCATGCAATCTTTTGACATTCTGTGAAATTCAGTCGATAATGGCTCTAGTCCAGCAGTTGTCTCCAAATCTCATTACATGTCCAGTCCATCTGACTTTCAACGCCTTGGCAAACGAGATAGTGACCCTGATTCTTTTTTTAATTTTTTTTTTGTGGTCTAAAATTTTTTTATTTATTTAGACATTATAAACACTCCTCCAATCTTTACAAATGACTTAATTTTCTGCACAGTATTTTTAATTACTAGTATAGATTACTGACATTGGGGAATGTGGAAGAAAAGAAAAAAATAGTCATCAACAATGTCACAAACCTAATTAGTGAAACACCATGAGGTACAGTTGTAGACTTACAAATTTTTGTGCTTGGGTTTCAGTTATAAAATGATCAAGTACCCATCCCTCCACCAGTGCCCATTCTCCACCACCACTGATTCCAGTATCCCTCCCACCTCCCACCCCCCATTGCACCCTGCTTCTATGGCAGGGCATTCCCTTTTGTTCTCTCTCTCCTTTTGGGTGCTGTGGTTTGCCAAAAGAGGCATTAAGTGCAATCATGCTCGGTCTACAGTCTACTTTCAGCATGCTGTTCTTGATTGTCAATGGAGGTGGGAACTCCAGATTCTTTCTCTCATTTGAGTGAAGCGTGATATTCCAAGCATAGCTCTTTCTATTCCTCTTTGGGAGACCCGAATAGCGTTCTCATTGTTTTTGTAGGGTCCAGGTCTCTGAGACGTATGTTAATGCAGGAAGAACAGTGGAATCAGATGTGCCCGGAGCCAGAGGTTCTTCTTCCTCTTAGCTATTTCTTCAACGCTCTTAAAGGCGTTCCAAGAGGCTCTTTTCCTCCTGCGCAATTCAGGTGCAAGGTCATTTGTCATGTTGACTTCCCGACCTAGGTACACACAAACTGCTGCATTTGGAGATATTCTTTCCATTGAGAGTGAATGGAATGTCAGGAATGAGATAATTTCTCATAAACATTGTCTTCATGATATTCAGCTGTAGTCCGACCTTTCCACACTCATGGTCGATGTCGGCCAGCATTTGTGCTGCTTGGCTAATGTTTGGTGTTATTAGAACGATGTCATCACCGAAGCGCAGGTAATATAGTTGTTGACCGTCTATCTTCACTCCCATTCCTTCCCATTCCAGTAGTAGCATGACATTCTTGAGTGTGGCACTGAAGAGTTTTGGTGAAATGGTATCACCCTGCTGACCCTCTCTCTTGACATGGGTGATCACTTCCTTGTAGAATCATGAGATCCTGGTAGTGAATCCATAATACAGCTCATGGAGGATCTTGATGTATTGAGTTGGAACGCTCTGTTTGGCTAGGGTTTCGATGATCACTTCAATCTCAACAGAATCAAAGGCTTTCTTTAAATCAATGAAAGTTAGAGCAGCATCTTGAACTCCCAAGAAACCTCAATGACTTGGTTATCGTGTGGATATGGTCAATCATGCTGAATCCTAACATTCTATAAAACTGGTAATTGGGGCCAGAAAGTACAGCAGGTAAGATGTTTGTCTTGTATTCAGGTCGGGTTTAATCCCTGACACTCCAGATGGTGCCCTGGGCACCACTAGGAGTGATCCCTGAGCACAGAGCCAATGTGCTCCTCCCCAGAAAAAAGCACAAACATGACACAAGAAATAAAACACAACAACAAAAAATCACAACTAACAATCACCAACAAAAAGCTGCAAAAACCTCAAACATATGAAGACTAAACAGCATGCTAAAGAAATTTATGGTAACAAATAAGAATGATGACATGAGCTATAAGAACAATTACATACAGCAAAATCAACTCTAAGAGGGATGTTTATAACAATACAGTTTTACGTCAAGAAGTAAGAAACTTCTAAAGAAATCTAACTATACATCTAAAACAATAGATAAAGATAACCAATAAAACCTAGTCAGTATAATGAAGGAAATAATAAAAATCAAAAATAAACAAAACAAATAAAAATGATAAAATTAAAAGATCAATGATCTATAACTGGTTCCTTACAAGGATAAAAAAAAACTCTTAGTTAGACTAAGAAAAACTGAGAGAAAACTCTAGTAAATGAGATAAGAAATGAAAGGGCAGAAACTGCAACAGATATTACAGAGATACTCAAGGACATAAATGATGTTTAAGAACAACGTGATGCCACAAATTGGAATATCTAAAAAATGGTGATAGTGATAGTGATTATGATTTTCCAAGATTAAATAAGAAGGAACACAAAAAAAAATGAGATCATTAACAAGCACTGAATTTTAAACTACAGTCAAATCTCCCAAAAATAAATCCCAGAACCATATGGTTTCACTTATGAGTTCTACCGAGTCTTCAAAGCTAGACTGTCATCTATCTTTCTCAAACTCTTCCCCTCAAATGTATATATCTTAGGGGGCCCACATATAGAGCAGATACAGACATCACCAAAAAAAGAAAATGACAGGCCAATATACACTCAATAAACCTAGATGCAAAGGTCTTGGTGAACATTTAAAAGATCATACATGTTGATAAAGATATCTATGCCAAGTATGGTCCAACATAAATCAATTAATGTAATACCCATCAATAAAAGAAAAAAATATAGCCACTAATAAAAGACAAGAATAATTTATCATATCAATCCTGCAGAAAGTTCTTTACCAGTCCATTTCAATATACATTTATGATTATAAAAACAATCGACCAAATTTGGATAGAGAAAACATTTCTCAATATGATAAAGTACATATATGACAGACCTACTGCAAACATCAAGCTCAATGAAAACAATTTTAAAGCTTCCTTTCCAAGATCAGGTACAAGAAAGTCTACTCTCACCACTATTATTTTACATCACACTGGAAGTCCTAGAGAATGCAACTAGACAAGTAAGAAAATAAAGGAACTCATAGTGAGACAGTAGCAGTACTAAAACTATTACTATTTGTAAATGACATAATAAAACACATTAAAAATCCTTAAGACTTTACTGAAAACTATTCATCATCCAGTCATCACCATCCTCCTGTTGTTCATCGATTTGCTCGAGCGGACCCAGTAACGTCTCCATTTTTGAGACTTGTTGTTACTGTGTTTGGCATATTGAATTTGTCATGGGTAGCTTGCCAGGCTTTGCCGTGCAGGCGAGATACTCTCGGTAGCTTGCCGGGCTCTCCGAGAGGGGCGGAGGAATTGAACCCGGTACTGCCGGGCTGGCTGCATGCAAGGCAAATGCCCTACTGCTGTGCTATAGCTCCAGCCCCTGAAAACTATTAAAAACAATAAATCAATACAGTGAAGTGACAGTCTACACAATACAGATGCAAAAATCTGTTGCATTTCTATATGAAATCAACAAACTAGAAGAGAAATAATAAATTTCTTGGCAAATAATACAAAAAATTAACATTTAAATCTAAAAATATGAACTGGGTGACTAGTTTGGAACTTAGTATTTTATAAATACCTAAGCATTTATAAAAATGACCTGTTACTTCTCATTACATCCCTGAGAAGTAAGTAACTCGGTTTATTCAGGGTCCATCAAGGAAGAAAGAGCTCCAAATAGTAGCCCTCTCCATCTCTGAACTTCACCAGTGGGCATCTTTGATCCTGATTCTACAACATAAATCAGTATACAGGATAAATCTAAACCTTTAAAAGGCAATTTTCCACATATTTAAACAAATAAATCTATAGTCCTCCTTTAAGCAAATCTTCACAAGCTGAAAGAAGTTATATAGAGTAGTTTTTGACAGATTATTTTTAAAATGTTTTTCAGAATCCAGATAATGTGATTGAGTCTGTCACCGTGATGATTTCTTTACTCATGTAAACAAAATGTCATTTTATATGTTATAACTTGGATAGCCATAGATAATGATAGAACTGCTTTTCTCCTTTGAGAAAAGGGATTTCTATTAGATTGTCAGCTTCTTGGGGCATTATTGAGAATTTATTTATGTTTGTATCCTAGCTGTAGGCACAGTTTATGTGTAATATACTACAGGTCTTCATTAAATATTGAATACACACAGCTAAGTTTATGCTGAAAACTGTCGTGTGTAGTAGAAGGGAAGTTCTAAGAAGTTAAATGATAGAAACTAAGACAAGTGTAAATTAAAAGATTTGTTCATGTCCACACAATGAGATGAAAAGAAAGATACAGCTAAACTTTTAAATCTCGTGTTAATCTACTGATTTTTAAATGACAATTATATTTTCTGAGCCAAAGATCAAGGCACACAACACAACCATAATATTTTTCATAATTGTATGTTTATGATAAGTATCACAAAGCTTTAAAATGCACTTGTTTATAAGTTATTTTTATATATTGGATTATACTCTATCTGCCCTACAAAAATAGTTTGTTGACAATTTCATCAGACCAAAATAACACCAATGTGATTTACATACAACAAGCCATATTGATGTCTAGAGGATATCACGCTGAATGAAGCCAGTCAGAAGGAAAGGGAAAGATCTATGGAGTTAAAGATACACAGCAAGGGAGCAATCAACGTCCAAGGCAACATAATGGGAGAACTGATCCACACAATTGAGTTGGGGTCGGAGGGCAATATTTGAATTGGGAGAGAGGTGAGTACACTGGTGATAGGTGAGGTGCAGGAATTACATGCATGAGAAGCCATTACTAACAGTACTGTAACCACAGAATCTCAAGCAATTAAAAAAATTAAAAAGCAAGCTATATTGCCTTTTGAATTACATGTAAACTCAGAGAAACCATCTCATTTAAAAACTTTTAATGAGAACTTCTGAACAGCAATGCCATATTTACATTTTTCTAGTGACATGCCAGAGAGTTGTATAGAATTAAAAAAAAACTATCTCACTCTAGAAAAGCTATTACTCATAATTATAACTTCATAGTGATAAAAATGTGCAGCATCTTTCTGTTATATTTCTCTAATTGCTGTCACCAAAAAAAAAAATGTGAGGTCCTTTCTTACCTGCTTAAAAAGTTGAAGGTTAACTGCAGTTTCCAAGAACTGTTTCATCACACTTGAGCGGTGCTTTACAAAACTCTCCTCACAGAAAGTGACAGGCTCGCCCTAGAAAGAAAGAAAGAAAGAATTTCAGGGTGACATTACAAAGTCTGAGAGAACTACTCTCTTATAGAACGTCTACTAAGAAGTATAAATCACAGAAGCAACTTTCAGGTGCTTCAAGCTTAAAAGGAATCCAACAGGCCATTGTATTCATAGTAGCTAAATTTCAGGCAAGCATAAATATTCCTCTGATGGCATATATTATAGTTTTTAAATTTAAGACACTTCAGGCTTTTAAAATTGACTTTACTCCCTCAGAGTGAGAACAGACCAAAAAAGAGATTTAATATTATTATAATTTAATTATGAACACTAAAAATAGCACATGTAGCTGAAAAGTACTTTCAATAAAATAAAATTTCAACAATTACTTTCCTTCTGAATGAAAATACTATCCTATGTGAAATGCTCCTGATTTTTGCCACTTGTATCAGTAATTGTGACCATCAGTATCTTTTCAAATAAATTCAGAGTGTTAAATTAGTATTTTCTTTGTGATCACAAATTTTGATTGCATACTTTCTACAAAAAGCAAAAATACATGGTATTTGCTTGTCTTGTGTCTATCTTACGGATTTTTGTGATCCATTAGCTGGTGCTTTTCCAAATCAATAATGCGAGTTTCAAATATAGATTTCCATTAGTTTCACATGATCTTACTCACTGGCTTGATTCCTAATATCTGTTTTCCTACTCAACTTCATTCTCTTTTTCAAGTCAACGTACATGAAGATAAGCAACACAATTTGATAGTCAAAATTAAAAAATACAATTGGTTCTAATGATTGATTTGTTGTAAACAGTCTTGTAGCAATATTAATTTGAATTTAAAAGGGGCAAATAACCATGTTTAGCTTCCATGGTAGCACTGTAGCACTGTCCTCCTGTTGTTCATCGATTTGCTTGAGTGAACACCAGTAACATTTCCATCGTGAGACTTGTTGTTATTGTTTTTGGCATATCGAATACACCACGGGGAGCTTGCCAGGCTCTGCTAGGCAGGTGGGATACTCTCGGTAGCTTGCCAGGCTCTCCGAGAAAGAATGAGGAATCAAACCCCGGGTTGGCTGTGTGCAAGGGAAATGCCCTACCCGCTGTGCTATTGCTCCAGCCCTTAGCTTTCATATCGAATGGGTTGGAGCGATAGCACAGAAAGTAGGGCATTTGCCTTGCACAACAGCCAACCCGGGTTCGATTCCCAGCATCCCATATGGTTCCCTGAGCACCACCAGGAGTAATTCTTGAGTGCAAAGCTAGGAGTAAACCCTGTGCATCACCGGGTGTGACCCAAAAAGAAAAAAAAATTAGCATCCATATAACTTAGAAAACATTAACTATAATTAACTTTTAGGGATGACAGTGTCTTAATAATAACTATCTGCAAACAAAAATCTGAAAATTGGTTCTTGCAAAATAAGCCTAGCAATTTTATAATTCTACTGTTTTACACTTATCATTTTCTCTTCTTTTTCTTTTTTTTTAATTTTTATTAGTGAGACACCATGAAGTACAGTTGTAGACTTACAAATATTGTACTAGGGTTTCAGTTATACAATGATCAAATACCCATACTTCCACCAGTGCCCATTTTCCACCACTACGGATACCACTCCCCCATCCCACCCTGCCTCTGTGGCAGGGCATTCCCCTTTGTTTTCTCTCTCCTTTTAGGTGTTGTGGTTTGCAAAAGAAGCATTGAGTGGCAATCATGTTTAGTCTATAGTCTACTTTCAGCATGCTTCTCCCATCCTGGGAGGATCCTCCCAACACCCTTTATTTGGTGCTCCCTTCTCTATCTGAGCTCCCTTTTCCCCCTGAAGTTAATGTCTAAAGTTAACACTACAAACTATTCAATATTGTCATTAAAATGTAAATTCATAAAAATTAAATAAACCCAAAACTAAGTTCATCAGTTTCAGTAGATAGATGGAGTCTGTGAAAGTACAGTATCACAGAGTGCAGTATGGAGTTTGATCCTAGTAGTCTTATTAGAAAGCACTACTATAAAGGGAGTGAAAAAAATCCAACTCATTACTAGAGAAGGCAAATTAATAACCTAGTTATTGTTATTATCACTAACAGCTAACAGTCAATTATTCATAATATATTTGGCATTAGACATTTTATACTTGCCATTAACTACCACAGAATAGCTTTTTTTAAAATTTTTAATAGTGAATAGCTTTTTTTCTTTTGTTTTGTTTTGTTTTGTTTTATTAGTGAAACACCATGGGGTACAGTTGTTGACTTACAAGTTGTTGTGCTTGGGTTTCAGTTATACAATGATCAAATACCCATCCCTCCACCAGTCAGTGCCCACTTTCCACCCCCACCAATCCCAGTCTCCCTCCACCCCCCATCCCCCATCCCACCCTGCCTCTGTGGCAGGGCACTTCCTTTTGTTCTCTCTCCTTTCGGGTGCTGTGGTCTGCAGAAGAGACATTGGTGGCAATCATGTTCAGTCCATAGACTACTTTCAGCAGGCATTCCCATCCTGGGCAGATCTTCCCAGCACCCTTTATTTGGTGCTCCCTTCTCTATCTGAGCTGCCTTTACCCCTAGAGTTTGCAGCTGGCACTCTAAGCCATGGAGTGAACAACCTGGTATTTATTACAGCTGTTCTTGGGTGTTAGTCTCTTATTTTGTTACTTTATGTTACCCAGATGAATGCAATCTTTCTATGTCTGTCCCTCTCTTTCTGACTCATTTCGTTTAGCATATTTTCCATGTAGTACCACTTGTATGTAAATTTCATGACTTCATTTTTTCTAACTGCTACATAGTACTCCATTGTGTAGATGTACCAAAGTTTCTTTAACCAGTTATCTGTTCTCAGGCACTCAAGTTTTTTCCATATTCTAGCTATTGTAAACAGTGCTGCAATGAACAAACAAGTGCAGATGTCACTTCAACTATACTTTTTAGCCTCTCCAGGGTATATTCCCAGGAGTGGTATTGCTGGGTCAAATGGGAGTTCAATTTCTAATTTTTTAAGAGTCGTCCATACTGTTTTCCAAAAGGGTTGAACCAGTAGGCAATAGTGAATAACTTTTTTTTAAAATTATTTGTTTATTGAATCACCGTGAGAAAACTTACAAAGCTTTAAGGTTTAACTCTCAGTCATACAATGATCAAATACCCATCCCTTCACCAGAGCATATTTTCGACCACCAAGAATAGCACAGCAGGTAGGGCGTTCGCCTTACAAGCAGCCAACATGGCCGACCCGAGTTCGATTCCTCCGCCCCTCTCGGAGAGCCCGGCAAGCTACCGAGAGTATTCGATATGCCAGACACAGTAACAACAAAGTCTCCAATGGAGACGTTACTGGGCCCGCTCGAGCAAATCGACGATCAACAGGAGGGCCTTTACCTTTTTACCTTTTAAGAACCCCAATATACCCCGCTCCCACCTCTCCCAATGCCTGTGAGACAGATGATTTCCACTTAACTCTCTCTACTTTGATTACATTCATTATTTTGACAAAAGATCCACCATTATTACTTGGAATTTTCCCCCAACAATCAGACCTGCTGAAAAGGCATTGTGAAATAATTTGTTTTCTATTGCTGGTTATGAAGACCATATGATTTTGCACGGATAGTGGCCATAAGATTTTGGATTTCTGATATTTTACTAATTAAGTCTGGAGGGATTTCTGCCAAAAGATGCATAGTTATGAGATTGGTTTGTGTGCCTCTGAGGCCATGGCCATGCCAGAAAGCCGCTCGTGGGGACAACTCTCAGCCTCTGCAGGGCAGGAAGGACGTGACGGTTCCACCCCCCCCATCCTATGAGGCTGCAGTTGCCCTGTCACCACTGGCTCATACCTGGCTGTCCAATAACCTCTGAGGCAGCGGCCACTGTGCTGTCAGGGGGTGGGGCAGGGAAGACGAAAGAGACAGACACCCTTTCTCTCCCAGGCGGGGGAGGGAGGGCATGGCACTGTAGTTCAATGCACAGTCCATCTACATTTCTGCTGAAAGCTGCTGGGCTCTGAATTAGGTACATGTGCCAATGGGACCATGGCCCTGCCACAGAGCCACTCGTGGGGGGCAACTCTCGGCCTTGGCAGGGCAGGAAGAATGTGCCAGTTCCACTCCCCATTCCATAAGGCTGCAGTTCCCCCATCACTGCTGGCTCATACCTTGCTGTCCAATAAGCTCTGAGGCAGCAGAAACCGTGCTGCGGGGGGGGGAGGGAGGGGAGGAGGCGGAAGAGACAGACAACCTTGCCCTCTTGGGCAGGGGGGCACAGTGCAATAGTTCAATGCATAGTCCATTCACATTTCTGCTGAAAGCTGCTGGACTCCAAATTAGGTCTGTGAGCCTCTGGGCCATGCCTGTGCCGGAGAGCCGCTCGTGGGGGGCAACTCTTGGCCTCGACAGGGCCCCAAATAGCTTTTTAACAGAACTGCAGCACTGTCCTCTCATTTTTCATTGATTTGCTCAAGCAGGCCCAGTAATGTCTCCATTGTGAAACTTGTTGTTACTGTGTTTGGCATATCGAATATGTCACGGGTAGCTTGCCAGGCTTTGCCATGCGGGTGAGATACTCTTGGTAGTTTGCCGGGCTCTCCGAGAGAGGCGAAGGAATTGAACCCGGGTTGGCAGGGTTGGCCACGTGCAAGGAAAACTCCCTACCCGCTGTGCTATCGCTCCAACCCAGCTTTTTAATAAATTATTTTAAAAATCATATTAATTTATATGATTTAGATAATTAAAAATATATTGTATTTGTACTATCATGGAACTCACAATCTAACAAAGGGGGGGGGCAAGAAAACTTCCATCCTATTAAAGACAAAGTGTTGGTTTTGCACCTTACTCTCAGCGTCATATTGAGAGTTAATTCTGAACGTCCAATAAAAGTGCAAATGAAACAGCAGGTAAGTCAAGTCTTGCTCCATCTGACATATTATTTTTCAAAAGCAGTTCAAAATTTAAAAGTAAATAATATTATTGCCTTTAATGGCAGTTCCAATTCTATCACTGCTTTTTATT